TATATATATATATAAGATTGCTTTGCGTTAAGTCACAGTCTCTAAAGTGTTTCTAAAACAATGAACAGGGTTCACATCTGTGACACTGCTAAAATCAAGGACTAGCGGTATTATTTTTTTTTTTGGGTGGAGTGATCTTGAATGGGAACATTCGGTTCAAGGGAAAAAACGATTAAAATATTGTATCACTTTTTATTTCTTTACATGAATTGCTGCCCCTGCTTTGAAGAAATTTCTGAGAAACGAACTTAAAAATTTCGGATTTATATCTAGGACAAAGAAACGAAATGCGCAACCGTGTGTTATCTCAAAGCCAGCGTTAAAAGTGAAAGTGGAAGGTCAGAGTTTGAATTCCTTTATTGTGTATTAGCCTACAAAATTAAAAAGACGACAAGCAGATTATTTTTGCTTGATCAAGAATTAGTGTTGTGTAGCTGTAAAGCCCAGGTTGCAGTTGAGTCTACATTAAGTTTTCTGATCATAATTACGGATACGGTTGTTGAGTTTGAATGAAAAACTATTAATTGAAATTTAATGGCTATCCGTACTTAAGTCAAATAGTATACTTAAGGTATGTTTCATGTGTGCATCCGCCCTATAGATCTAGATCTAGATCTAGATCTAGATTTAGATCTATATCTTCTCAAAACAATTGCACTGAGATCAGTTGACACCCTCCTGCCTCTCTCCAAGCCTGCCTTCCTTCATGAGTCTGAGGCTGAGGGGGGAAAAGGTTTGGCCACTGTGCACAACATTAGGCCTACCGCTTCTCAAACACTGCATATGTTTTCCCTTTCTGACATAACAACATCACTACCTCCTGTGATGATGACAACATATTACAATGTGTCATGACGCAGTGGATCAGGTGCTCGTCAATTTTTTGGCAAATGTAGTTAGGCCTAGAATCTATTGGTTTGGATACAAGTCGAGATATTTGCAATTGAAGGAGATGGGGTGGCCTGGTTTCAGAGGTAAAATTAGCGAGAAAATGGCCTCTAAAGTTTAGTTATTATTTCCTTGCTTTGAGAGCCTGAGGAAACTGAAAATTTGATCTTTTTATGCGTTTAATCAACATTTTAACATTTTTCAGTAAAATCCACAATGTTTTTAATGGGCATAAAATGTGTTGAGACGAAAAAGGGGAAGGGGGTGGGGGGGAGTTAGGGTTACTGGGTTATCAACATAATCTTTGAAGTTTACAGCCCCCTTCCTCTCCATCTCCCCATCAATAGCAATTTAGCATCCTAAAAGTTAAAAGATCTCTACAGCTGACTCTGGTGTTATGGTGGTGGAGGTAGCTTGTGGAATCTCTTTGGAAGTTTTTTGAGATTTGCGATTGCATTTCAGTGTTCTTATTTCATGTATACATTATGTTTTTGACAGGCTTTTTTATTACCTATTATAATGGGATTTAAAATTAGTCATTGTTTACATAAATGTTTTTGTTTTTTAAACAGAATTGAATTGTTCCTGAACTTTGACAGCCTGATTGTCTGCATGACAGTTAGTTTTTTGTTTGTTTTTTAGTGTCTCACTCATTCCTATCACATTTACTGACACCCTCTGATTAGAAAAAAAGATGCATATTATAGTGTTATGTTTCCTTTAGGAAGATTTGATAATCTTATTGCGGGTTGTTGGAGGCTGCCACTTGTAGGTCCTACTACTAAGTACTACTACCACTACTACTACTTCTTTACTTTCCTTCTCTATTGTTTCTGTCTTACTTTTTCCCAGCACTAATAGAATAATATTGAGTTGATGTGCTTCTCTTTACTCAAACACAAAGATTAGATTAGATAATCTTATTATCCAGTTTTTCTTTCCAGGTATCTGTATGACTCTCTAAATGTTCTGGAATGGAGTGTAAAACCGAACTGTGACGGGCTGAACCATGATGGCCACACGGCCTACAGTGACCCTGAAGAGGTTCAGAGGTCACAGCACTCTGGCTAGTCTGACTAAGAACTCAAGTAGTTCTGGAAGCAGTAAATGCTGTAGTAGAAGTAGGTCAGCTGTAGATGACACTTGTCAGACCACGAGATGTCCTGCCACACGTGTGTTGGATATGTCGACACTGCCAGGTCGTACGTCTCTGCTGGCGGCTGCCACACGGCCCATTTGGTCTTCTTCCAAACAAACAGATCTCATGGCCAGAGGGAACACTCTTCCCACAGCCTCATTTTCAACTTTGGCTGGCAGGAAAAGACACGTTGGTTTTAAAAGAAATTGCTCAACGTACGATTTGAAAAATATTCCTGTGAGTAGTGATGTGAGAAGGAAAAATAGCTGGATGTTTGATTCCAAAGTGCAAGTTTCTGACAATGACCCTTGCAGTATTCTCAGAACGGCCGTCCAGTCTGCTGAAAAGGGTCATTTTTTTCCGCAGGATTATTTACCATTTTTCTCCCAGTACCAGACTTGTGTTTACGCCAGATTGGGTCTCTCTCACGTCCATCAGATGCCTCTCCTTGGTGAACCAAAGATTTGGTTGGAACCAGCCAACAATCTAAATATTAAGTCTTTCACGATAGACAGCGAAAGTTTTGAAATGTTATCATCTCTCGTGGTGACTAATGTCGATGATATTCCCAGTTCCCACGTCCCACGGCTTCTTCACCACCTCCACTATTTGCTTCTCTCTGGCAGTGAAATGGTGAAAGTTCTTTTAAAAAGGTCAGAACAGCTTGTGCATTTGTTTGATCTTCAAGATTTAGCTTTCCTTGCATCCAGCGGAGTTTCACATCATATGGAGGCTGAAGATGTGAGGAAGCTAGTAGACAGGACTAAAGAACTTCTTGACACCCAAAATGTTAAGGATGTCAATGTTGGTGACCTGTGTGTGATATATGGAAACCTCCAGTCTCACATGACTACGCCCATGTTTGATTTAGGTGCAAGAATTATTTCTGGGAAACTCAGTTGTGAGGAACTTGATCCCACTGTAAATATTTTTGGTACCGTTGAGATGTTTAATAAACTATCTAAATTTGAGTGTGTTGAAAGTCTGGACAATTCAATATTTATGACCCTGGATAGGAAAAATTTGTCCCCTATGTCTTTCGGAGAAACTGATCTCGACACTTTTGGGCATGCTGGAAAACTGTTTCGACGGGTTGACTGGATCAAGGGGAGTGCACTCGTGAAAGAATTTATGGCAGACATTGTAAAGGATGTGGAGGGTTGTGCCGACGTGGGAGACGTTGTCCGTGTCTCCAGTCTTCTAGACAGGGAACATCTTCTGGGTCAGGAGGAGAACTTTGCTCAGAACATTTGTGAACTGGTGAAGGATACAGACTTTGTTATGTTCTCTAAGGTAACCTCTCACAGACTTCATATATATAATTATATATATACGGTCAAACCTGCTTTAGGGGTCACCTGTCCAAGACAATCACCTGTACAAAATAACCACTTCCCACATCTCCCTTTGTGTTAAAAAAAGTCATACATATAATCACACCATCCAAGAGGGCCATTTGTCTATGATGGCGATTATTCTACTTGACAATGGTTGCTCTCTGACTTTCTCTCCCATCTATAAACTAGAAGAATAAATAATGTTATGGTGTCTTTCTTGCATTTTTTTCCAGTGCTAAATTGCTGTTATATTTTGTCATTGCTTTTCTTTTTACCTGAACAAACATATAAGTACCAATATTTATTTATTTCAGAAGTGGTGTGATTGGATTGGTGAGTGCTCTGGTGTGTGTCATTTACTTTTAATCATTTGTGTCATGACGCAGTGGAATCAGGTGCTCGTCAATTTTAGGGCATTTGGAGTTACTGGTATGTAAAAGCCTGTTCATTTGCCTTGCTTTGAATGGAAAAAAATATCATTCTATCTTGAACAGAAGTCGAGATATTTGCAGTTGAAAGAGGGTGGGGTCACCAGATTCAGAGGTAAAATTAGCGAGAAAATGGCTGCCAAAGTTTGGTAACTTCCATAGCTTGAGGGTCCTTGAAAACTGGAAATGTACAGTTTTCATTCCTTTAATCAACATTTTTTGGTTAAAATCCACTCAGAAATGTGTTTTTAAATGAACATAAAAGATGTTGAGCCAAAGAACAAAAATTCAATAAAAATTGTTAAGAGTCAAACCAGCAGAAAAATGCTGGTTTCATCGATTTCAGTATTTTGTCGAGCGTCTGATTTCATTACGATTCCTCTCATTTACTCTTTCTTTCCTATCTAACATCTATTGTCCTCTTCTCTCTTCCTTTTTTAAAAATTGTATGTTGCTCTTGAGAAACACCTCTGTTCTTTGCCTCTTATATGACTTATCTGTGTTGCTAATGCAGTCAAACTATTACTAAAACTAAAAAGAAACTCTCTCTCCTTAGCTGCTCAAGATTTGTTTGAGGTTGAACATTCTCTTCCGGAACCGGTCGGCATGGGACTTGTCGAGTGAGTTGCAGCAAAGGCTGGAGAAAATGTCGGAGGTGCTGACCGTTGGTCAACTGGAAGAGCTTCTGTGGGCGGACGGTGGAAGCTTTGCCAGGGCTGTGTGGAGACTGCTAGATTATGTGAGCATTTAGTATTAACGAAACTTCCGTCATGCCTGTGGGCCAGTTTCACAAATCTATTTGTATGTTATGCCTGTTTGTCCATGTACACACATAGAGCTTACTGTTGAGTGGGATTTTTGCATTATACAAATGCTTTTTATTGTTATTTTTAACTCTTCTTCTTCTTCTTCTTCTTCTTCTTCTTCTTCTTCTTCTTCTTCTTCTTC